CGGAATATTTTTTTTACAACCACCATCGTACAAATTATGCTAAATTTGGACCCTTAAAACAAATGATGTCAATTACAACACTCACTTCTAAACTATTGGCTTTAAAACAAGTCCCTGGCAAGGTGAAGGATAACCTTAGTTTCACGTACCCACTTGCAAATAGTAGATGTCGCCACATGACGTAAACAAAGGGGTTATCCTTCACCGCCGCAATGGTATTTCTCTATGGGAAACTAACTTTTTGTTTCACGATGTGTGTATGTCAAACAGCAAGCAAGAATGCTATATGAAAAGAGCGAATTAATGATTTTCGTGGTGAAATGAAATAAATTCAAACGAATTGAAACCGATTGATGGTTTATTTTTTTTATTAATATAATCAAATAGCAATAAAAATACTTTACTGTCTTGTATTGTATTATCCTCTTGAATATAACCAGCCTTGGGATACATAGCGGTATGATTAAAAAGAGTTTACTCTCCTGTGTTTCTTTTACGGGGTAAGTAAACTGCCTCTTGTTTTTCAGTGCAGTTGTTTTTTTTCTCTTCTTTTCCTTCTGTGGACTGTCGGGCCTCTTGGAAGTGTCTGCGTGTGTGTGTGCTACTTCAGTTGAGCGGAAAAAAGGATTCGTTTCAGCTTCATTCCAATCATGTCTCTACTTGTTTCCGGATGCAAAGTTCGATTGTGCAATCACAGAATTCGAGTGCATTCAATTGGAAATAAACGCGGCATGTTGAATAGATTCGTCCAGTTTCGTTTATCTAGAACGTAATTTATTTTGCATTTCATTTTGAGACCTTGTTTTTATTTCAAAATACTAATTTTATAAGTAGTTTAAGATTATATCAAGTGTAAATATGATTTAAAAATAGTTCTGGTGCACAAATGGTTTAATAGTAGATTAAGTGTTGAGAAAAAAAGAAATTAATTCGTATACAACCATATCAGTGTAAATATAAGACAAAGAATATAAGTTTTTAAACATCTTCGAAACTGTGAAACTTTAATTTGAAAATGCGTTGTATGATCGAACAATGTTTACGAAACCTCAGTGATTCGTTGAATGTGAGAAGTCATAGGTAAGAAATTACTAAACAAATTTAAATCAAGTCTACGTCAAATATGAAGTTTAAAAATTATCCAGATTTCCAACAAGTACACATGAAAGAAAAAAATGGATTCGATCAATTCTTATACTTACGGGACAGCAAATAGATGCTAAAACTTCAATAAAATCTCGGATTTGTGGTAATCATTTTGCGGAAAACGATTACAAAATCAGCGGGAACAAACAAATTTTACTTAAAAATACTGTACCAGTTATCTTCGACAAAACAACAACGGAAGAAACGTATGTTATTACCTATTAAATTTAAATGAAAATTTAATTTAAATTTTTGTTACAGTCAAAATTTTGAATTTATTTGCTTGGATGACGAATCTTCGGTTGATTCACTTGATTCAAGTGTGATGAGGTGAGAATACAATTTTTTTTTTGTTGAAATTTCATGCAAAGTTTGTGTTAATCGTCTTAATGAACTTAATTTAGGAAAAAGCTAAATAAAGCTGGACACAAGAAACTGGATATTACACCTCAAGAAGCGTGTCAAGCTTATCCCCGTCTCCTTAAAGCTAACGAGAAACTAAAGAATTCGAAGAACACCTACAAGCAGAGATGCAGACGTCTACATAAACAAGTTAGTACCTTAGAACAAGCGCTTCTAGAGGCTCAAAACAGAAATATGGTTTCAAAATGTACAGCGGATCATTTGAAAGTACTTTAATTAATTAACAATAATTTTGACTGTTTATAACGATTAAACCTTTGTGCAGGTGCATTCTGAAAATCATTCGTTGTTGGAGGAGCTGAAGTTCACTCAAGGGCAAGGTCGAGAGTATAGTGAAGAATTAAGATGCTTCGCTGTAACATTGCATTATTATTCCCCACGAGCGTATCAGTTCGTCAGGCAATCCTTTGAAAATCGTTTGCCTCATCCAAGGACCATTACAAGATGGTATCATTCTATTGATGGTGAGCCAGGCATCACGTCAGAATCAATGGCTGCTTTGCAGATATTAGGTCACGAACAAAAAGAAACAGGTGAACGTACATTGGCCTGCCTTATTATGGAAGAGGTTTCCATAAGACGGCAAATTGAGTGGAATCACCGGACGAAGAAGTTTGAAGGAACTGTCCAGTTTGCGCGGTATCTACCAGAAGGGACAGACGAGTTACCAATGACAAAGGATGCAATCGTATTCATGGTTACTGGTATTAAGCAAAAGTTTAAAATTCCTGTGGCCTACTTTTTCACGGACTCGTTGAATACTGAACAGAAAAGTAGTCTAATTGAAAAAAATTTGACAAGTCTTCATGAAATTGGTATTACCGTTATTGCCTTCACATTTGATGGCTTAAATACTAATACTAATATCAGCACTGAACGAATTACAGAATCTGAGTGGATTGAAGATTGGTAAGCTTACGGATAAACACATCAACTTCCACAATGAGAAGATGCGAGTAGACTTAGCGGCTCAAACTCTAAGTCGAAGTGTGGCAGATGCATTACGGAAATTGAAATCAAACAAGAAAGAATTTCAGGACTGCGATGAAACCATTAAATGCGTTGAATTAATTAACGATTTATTTGACATCTTCAACAGTAAACATCAACACGCTAATGATTTCAAGTGGCCAATGAATCCAGAAAACATCAATCAATATCGAGAATGCTTCAAAATTGCAGATATATAATCATCCAAACTTCAAGTGCAACAGGAAAAGAAAGGGAGGAAAATTTGGACCAATATTATTGATAAGATCAACAAAACGGGATTCATAGGATTCCTTGTCGCGATACAAAGCTTCATGGATATGTATGACCGACATGTGGAGCAACTAAAGGAGCTGGATGAAATACCATGCTATAGGTGCAGCCAAGATTACTTGGAAACTTTCTTTGCGGCCATCCGAGCGAAAGGTGGCAACAACAATAATCCAACCATGGGGCAGTTTAAGGCTGCATATAAAAGAATGATCGTTCATAATGATGTTAATTCCGCGGCGTTTGCTAATTGCCGAAATTTCGATGAGGTGAAAATGCTGCATGCTGAGGAAAAATCATTGTTCTACCTTGAATCAATGATGAATTCAATGACCAGTGAACCTAATGATGACCGAAATGATGACGACAATATTCCTGCTCCGATTGATGAAATGCTTGCTTTCGCTTCAGTAGACGACGATTTCTTAACACATTCGTTGACATATTCGGCAACACACGTCCAAAAGCAGCTAATTGTAAAACTGAAATGTGAGCAGTGTTTGCATGAACTAATAGGAAACTCGGAAATTGAAGTAAACAAAGATGTTCTTCTGATATGCAAGATTTCTGAAACTGAACTAAAACTACTCATTGATCACCACAAAAGTTTCAACGTAGGGAAATATTACGAACGGCTTGAAAACAGAATCCTAATGAGCATCTGTAACATTCATCAACATGTTTTTTTGCAACTATCAGGACATATTTTGGAGCAAGATGCAGTAAACAATCATCGCAATATCTTGATAAAATTTTGCATTGATTTTTATTTAAAACTACGGCTAGAGGAATATGCCAAAAACATGGGAGGCACTAAGAATTCTATCCGTAAAAAACTTACAAAATTGATTCTGTTTCGCGGTGAGTAGCAGATTTGCTGGATGAAGACGAGCAATTTGTACATCCATTTAAAATTGAAGAAATAAATAAAATGATATAAACTAAATCAAATAAGGGTCTCACAAAAAATTATTTACAATGAGCTTCTAAAACAAATAAATTTAAATCATTGCCTTTTGTTCCAACCATCCGTATCATCAACCTTATTCCTCACTAATCTTGAAGCCTCAAGAAACAGATGAATCCATAAGCTGGTATGTTCTATTATTTAGTTACACAGTTATGGGCATAGTGACAATGACAACACAAATACCATGAAAAACCCTAAAAAATGCACTGATCATATAAGTGAAGAGGATGTTAACCAGAATTTTCAAGAATATCAGCTAAAATTGAGTTCTGACGATTTTTGTATATATTTTTGCAAAGATCCGTTGTCGCAAGAAATTTAAAAAAAAATCAAATCTTATGTGTAAGCTTTTCGTTATGAACTGCTCAAATACAAACGCTACACCAAATTAAACAAAAAATGTTTCATATACTGATTACGTATTGTATTGATTATGTACTACTGAGAATCATAACGACATTTCTCGCGGGCATCACTGTAGTTCGTATGTTGCTAATGTTAATTTTTACATCGGACGTCACGTGTCCAAACCGGTGGACGCGCGAAAATAAGATGAATTTTAAATTTTATTTTTATTTACTGTACATCATTTCCGAATTCGCCCTATTCAGATAACACTTCTGAAATTTGTGAGTTTGACAGAACCACCAGCACCAAATTGTCGGGGTACACTGGAAATATACTGAAGTTGTCAAATTTCCAGGGAGTTGCTTTTGAATGACAAAAAACAAATTGATGCGAAGTGTTGCACTTAACTCGTCATTTTGACACGTTAAAAAATAAAATTAATAAGGTAAACACTGCTAAATTGATTTTATGTCAAAGAACAATGATTATTGTAACTAAATGGTCTAAATCTGATTGACGACAATAAATAAAAAATAAATAAAATGCATAAATAAATAAATAAATAAATATTGGGGAAATCGATGCAATGTCGGCCTAAATGCCCAATCTTAGATCCATAGGCCACACAGTAGAGCCATTTATTCTACATGAAATACTTAACTATCAACTCTTTTCTGAATTACCTTAAAATTTTGAAATTCTAAGGCAATTCAGAATACCTTCTAAAGAAATTCAGAATGCTAAGGTAACTCGGAACTTGGGCAGGGGTGATTTATGGTATCGTTATCCTATATCTTCGGATATGATTTCAAAATAAAGTTAACATACCTGTTCTGCTTTGAATTTACTTTATTGATTAACCAACGCGATGATAATTATGAGTTACTCCCAACTACAGTCAGTTACCATACAAAAACAACCAGTGAGTCAAAAGCAATCAAATAATTATCGTTTTTCTAACAAGAAATGCCAAAATTTAAACAACCACAGGATTAAATGCTGAATGATGAATGAACATGCAATTTATATTAAAAAGAAAACTTCTTCAGTGCTTACAAACAATCGGCAAACTGAGACGAGTGCAAACCGAACCGCTTCTGTAATGTGTGCTGGCCTTTGCATTATTCGTAGAGATCTACTCTTACAGTACTATTTCAGGTGTAGCCTAACAGTGTTCACAAAGGGGTATCGATTGTTGTGTACTTAAACTAATTATTTGAAACCCTAAATTTCCAGCGAAACGAAACCTTGACCGGCAACTAATTGACTATTTAAAATTTCGACTTTACAGTACAATCAATGTTTCGTTTCACTTAAAAGAAAAATCCCCTCGGCTCTCATCGCCACTCCACCACTGATGGTGAAAGGGAGATGAAATTGAATTTTTATTTAAATTACCTCAGTCACGATGGTCGTCTTATCCATGCAGCCATGAAGTGAAATCCCGTATAGCAAACTAATTTGAGGATGGACAAGACTACACCGAGCGAGTGAGAGAGTGGTTAAGCTGCGATAATGAAAACAGGCGGATTTTTCCCGGAACGTTTAAAAACTATGTGTCTGATGAGATGCATGCAATTTTAGTGTGAGAAAATGAGGCAAAAACTGGTCAAAATCGTGCAGTGTGTGTGTGTGTGTGTGTGTGTGATGAGTGTTAATTGAATGTGGTGGGATGAGGCGATGAAAATGAATAAATATAATGCAGATGGTGACGACGAACGTTGGATGTGACTTTGTTGTTGCTTCTCCTGCTGGTGAGGATGACGTTGATGCTGTTGCTACCAGGAAATACGTCGGCCGGATGAGGAAATGTTTTCTGCAGTTTGAAGCTCGTACCACCGGCAGCCAGAGAGATGGTGCATTTAATTAAAAAATATTTTACCGTTGTTCATTTCGAATGCTTCCTTGCAGACAGCCGAATGGTACGGTTGCAATCTTTTCAGGATCAATGCACAAGCATTGCCGTAGGAGATGCAATCCGAAAAGGATTTAACACAGATTAAACACTTTGTACAATCACATCTTCCGGCTCCAGGCGACGAAATTTGCTGCATTAATGCGCATACAAACACGAGCACGTTCCCAGCGGCGATCGGTGATGCTGCATCTTTGGAGAAATCGATATTCAATTAGTGCCTTGAACGGGATTTTCCATCTAGTCAGACACGCGCGGGGGACTGTTGCAAGGAAACGATTAATTAAAAACAAGTTTAATTAATTTTTCCTCCGACAAATCAACGCGTGTCGTCGTTTCTCCAAAGTGCCGTGGGTTGTTTTCGGACATCTTTTCTTTGTATTTCCTTTCAGTGTCAAGTGTTCAGCATCTGCAACGAGAGATAAAAGAATGACTTTCTTTCCGCCTGTCAAGATGCAATCACTGCATCATACATCACAACATCATCGGCAACTACTCGATCACCGCTGCTCATTGGCCGCTGGAAGTCCGGCGTTCAGCTCCTGGTGCGGCCGAACCGGAGAAGCGGGACATCGACGACGAAGACGGGGACATGTTGGCGAATGGGTTCCCATGGTGGCGGGTGTACATGTCATGGATGGCCATCAGTATCCGACGTCGAGCGCCCAGTGGCTTGATGTCCAAATTCAGCAAGTCCTGGTCGGTGAGCGTCTGAAACACGCTCATGTCAATTTCACCTTTGATGAAGTTTTCTAGAAAATAAATACAACGAATGTTTAGATCGGCACCGGTACCCGGACCTCTTGACGACTCACTGATGTAATGCTCCAGGCCCAGGTTGGTCAGGATGGATGTAACGTCATTGTACTGCGATAGCTGCTCACGTTGACGCATCGGAGTGACCTCGATCATCGTGGTAGTCATGTTGAGACGTGACTCGTTTCCGCTACTGCTGCTGCCGCCGCTGCTGTTGACCCAGCTCAGGTCGCATGCCTCCAGCGGGACCGGAGAGGTCTGGCTGAGGCCCAAACCCTGCCAGGACGGTGTCGGGGTACGGAGCTCGCCCTGTTGCGGGGGCATGTGCATCGCTTTGTAGCCGGCAACGACACGTGGGTCAAAGTTGAACACGAAGGTATCGTTGAGTGTGCTCTGTAGGAAGGGGGGAGGGGACAAAAGATAAAGAGTCCAGTCAGTTATATTAAATACGGCAGCTGCAAAATTGCATCTTTTATGAAATTATTTACTGAAAAACGCACAATTACTGCGTCAGCTACTCAGATTTACTATCTTGCCTGGGTATTTTTTTAAATTAATTTGTGTATCGTATCGAGGCCAAGCTTCAAAATGATTTTTGAAGCCAAATAGCTAAACATTGTCTATGTACAACAGTTCGTTTATATATATACGTATATATTTTTGACGTAGAACTACGTCTTTGTGGACTATACTGGGGTGAAGTAGTGTTAGATTTTGAACGCTTATAACTTTGTTATTTACAGATGAAATTAAAATTCAAATACGCCCATCGATAGGAAATAACTCTATGCATCTGCTGAAATAAATACTTTTTCAGTATTCCATAAATAAACTTTTGAAAAATGTGCAAATGACAATTTTATCACTGTTTTTATAAAATAAACGTTTTCCCCCAACCCAGTCGCCATAATCGAGTACCACTTGGATGCACATCGTTCTACTTGAACCTAAAAATATATAAAAGAGCGCTGCTGTCGTGCCTCTGCTCATTGTTAATAAGAAGTTGGAAAATAGTTCTTTGCTTAAACCGTGGGGAAATATTGAAACATGAAATCAAACTATTTTAATTTTGCATCAATATGTTCATCAATTTTTTCGCCGTCAATATTTCCATCAATATGATTATCAATACTTTTGAGTATTGACAATATTTTAGCACATGTGGTGTTTGCTATAATGAAAACACAACTGCCTGTGGCGTTATCATAAAATGCAATCTGCACTTTCTTCTCTGCTTCAGAGACCTAATTCAAAACCAATGATGGAGCTACTGCAAAAAAAAAATAACGGATTTTTGGAAATTGTTGCATCCCACAACATGCAAGACGTCATTCTGGGAGTGCTACTCCAAAATATTCAACGGATTGTTCAGGACCCCACATTTGAATTATCATAATTTATTACATTTCAGGAAAATACTTGAACTAACATTGAACCATAACCTAAACATTGAAATACTTTTAAAATTTAAGAAAATGTATAATAGTCAAAAATGTATGACAAATATCAATTGTAGATCTACGTCATACTGCGGTCGTGGCTTGGACACAACCCTTTATTCTTTTTGACGTAGGACTACGTCTTTGATTTCTATATGGGGTACACTTTGTGAAAACCTAAAATGGAACATGTAACAACATTATGAAAGATTTTGAACGTTAATAACTCAGCTGCCTTTTGACCAATTTCAATAAATTGATCAGCAATCGATCAGATATATTTCTACGCATCTGTCAAATTAAAGACTTTATTATTTTTCAAAATTTCACTGTTCAAAATTGCACGAATGACCAACAGTTGCTATGATAATTAATAGTATACAGATTACCTGCGAAAAGCGATTTCCCAAACACAGATTTCAAAGTTGAATTTTATCCGGTGCTCTCCAGTACACAACGAAAGGCTCTCCGTAAGTAGCTAGGCATCAAGGAGTGCCTCAACCGCTGATCGGATTCAGTTTCAGTTACCGTGTGTGGTGGTGTCCGGTCATCGGCATCATCAGCAGCAGCAGTGCTTTGAACATTGTTCTCCAGTACACAACGAAAGACTGCCTGCAAGCAGCGAGCTGCAGCCCACGTGAGCATTAGACTGATGCAAAATTTGACTTTTTCACTCCACAGTGCTTAAATGGTTTCAAATCGGGTCCAGATTAGCCTCTCAAAGTTACAACTCATTTGGTTAGAAACAGACTTCGCACAAGCCATTTGAAGTTTACATGTAAATTACTATCGGAAATATCAACTTTTTGTTCATTGTCTTCTAGGCTTTTCCACATTGAGCTGCGAAACAGTTCGATAGCCATTCTTATAGAAAATTTTCTCAGCTACAATTTTGCTGAAGACTGTTCCTATGTAAAACGATACAGGAAAAAGTTATTAATTATTTAAGAGATGGTAAACTTATGACACGATCAAGCAGCTGCTCTGTAGGCAACACTGTATTTTGCAGTGTGAAATAGTTGCCATGATTTTTGTGTTCTATTCAACGCCCCAGAAACACCAATGTTGCCTGCTGAGCAGTTGATTGAGCATGATCATAGGACATCAGTGCATTGAACCATTGATAACTTTCGATTCTTGCATTCTATTAAAAAGTGATATTGAGTTGTAGCTGGGAAAATTTCCTACAAGTACAGTTGAAAACTTTCGAAGCAGACCGATATGGTGAATTATTAGATAGGCAGGAACAAAAATCTTGGTTTTACCATAGTAATTCCCATACAAACTTTAAATGGTTTGTGTCATCTCAGTTTCTCACCAAATGGGTTCAAATTTTTAGAGGTTAGTCAGGATCCGATTTGGAATCGTTTAAGTATTGTGGAGCGAAAATTTCAAATTTTGCATCACTCTAGTGAGCATCCATAGAAGGAGGAAGAAGCCGCACCGCTATTGATCGGAATCAGTAGCTCTTCGTGAGTCGCTGCTCCTGCTGCAGTTAACAAATAAGATTTATTATATAAAACCACGAAGTCCTACGTCACCATTGCGTAAAACCCCATAGGGCTGTCCCTTGTAGTTTTTTATTCAGCTTTTTGAACTTGAAACATGGTTCGACATTTGTAAAAAATTAGCAGGGTTTTCAATCTAATTTCCCCTACTAAGTACAACCCGCACTTTACCTCTCTTTTTTGATTGAAAATGAACTCAAAACTGGAGTTAGTCTGCCATAGATGACTTCCAAATTTATTTACTTTTCTAGACTTATCGTTGGATTTGATAAAGAGTAACACATTATTGAGATATTGTTAGAAATCTAACATAGATTCTAGATTCCAAATTCGTTCTAGGGGAAACGTTCCTATAGTTGCGGTACGTTAGAAGCGTTAGGTTCCTATAGTTGTATATTGAGTCTACATGCACAACTATAGGAACCGAACGCTTCTAACGTACCGCAACTATAGGAGCGTTTCCCCTACGTGTTTCAATTCCGTCCTAACGCATTGAAACGCCATTGGTTTTTCTAGGCATTTCTTCGTTCTACGAAAGAAGGCCGAAAAAATTAATTTGCTTGGAGCGTTTCTTTTATTTTTAGAACAATGAGTGTAAACATGCATACAACGCGCTCGTATAGACTTTGTTTTGTAACTTAGGGGCTGTTCATTAACTATGAAGCCAGTTTTTTTGGGATTCTTAACCCCTTCTTCCCCAGCGTAAACAATTGTCTATACACAAGTTTTAAAATTTGTATGGGTCGTGGATAATTGTCAAACCCCTTCCCCTCAACTGTCAGCATAGTTTATGAACAGTCCCTTATGCGCTAACGCATAGAAAAATAACTTATTATTGATTTGTGTACTGTGAAATCATTGAAATTATTGACGTTTTCTGCACAATAGAATGGAAATGGGCGATTACGACGAAGTAGCGCTCTACCCTATTAGGAAATTTTTCAAGATGCACGAAAAGCAGTGATGTCAAAAAATCGCTTCCTGCGATTAGTGAATAGACTTCTCGTACGTTTATGAAATGCACAAGTATCAGTGCAGAATTTGGGGTAAATTATAAGTGTTAGTGCAAGAAAACCTTTGAGTTTACCCAAAGTTTTTCACTAAGACTTGTGCAATTCACAAACGTCAGAGAAGTCTATACACACTCACACCTGCTATGAGATTTATTTGCATCATCATAAGCTAGCGATGCTATCTGACACGTAACACTAATACTCAGAGAGCACTGAGTGCGGTGAGTTACCAAGATACACTGAAACCTCCGTTTACGAAGTCTTTTTCACGCAATATTCAATTTACGTCCCTCTTTTTACGAAGTAAATCTCAAATAACGGGTTTTCTGTGTTACGAAGTAAATTCCAAATATCGAGTTTTTTTTGCAATTTTGGGTAACTTAAGCATTAGTACAAAGCCTTAAATCTGCTTTACTTCAGAATTACGAGTGCTTATAAGCCCATATACAGCATTGATAATGCTAAGAAGCCTTTAATTAACTATGCTAATGCTATTAGTCTTTATTCAGCACTGCGTTTAATCAGCATTATATGAGCATTAGCAATGCTTGTTAATATTTTGACAGGAAAACCACGTGGTCAGTATTTGTGTGTTGTAGTGAGTTGAATGTCCCAAACAATTTCACAAACACCAACATTAGAGTTGGTTGGAAATGCTAACATGAAGCTATCATGTTAGCATTTCCAACCAACTCTGAAAATCGTTAACTTCGCGTATGAAGTAACATAAAAAAAAAAAAACACTTTGAATGTACCAACATTAGAGTTTGACAAAGATGATTGAGTAAAAGGCTGTCGGATGTCTCTTCACACGCGATTTCTTATACCACTTCGTATTTTCTCAGGCTCGTAACTCTCGAGCTACTTAATGTACGAAGTTTAAAATAAAACAAAGTGTTTTCTGCAGGGAAGTAAATAACTTCCACCAATTGTGTGCCTAAATAAGCCAATTTTCAAAACAATTATCATCATCATCTATAGCCTAGGGGATACAGGCACATGATTGTTGTTCCAGAAGGTCCCGGTTCGAGTCTCACTACCAGTAATTTACAGTATATGAAACACAAATATTGAAAATGGATACAAAAGGTACTTGGTTATAATAAATAAATCATGAATTATCATATTAAATTCCTTTTGTTTATGGTCTGTGAATGACGGGTGGCATTTGATTACTCATACAGCTCAGTCTTTTGCAATAAAAAAGGGATAAAAATTACCCGGGAATGGATTCGAAAACATTTGACGTTTCTTATACCAACCCTAAGTAAGCATTACAAGTGTTTGTGCCGGGCAAGATGGCGGTTACCGGTTTTAATTTCAAGATGGCATCGGTCAACGATTTCTGGGCTCCAGATGTCACCCCGATTCCAACAATATCCACATTGATCGGTATTTGACAGTATTTCATTCTTTTTCTGAACCAAATAGAT